GCCACATGGAAGGGTGTAGGGCCCAGTTTTTTTAATGTATTTGGTAATGATTTAGTGTATGACATAGACAGGAATACTACTACGCTTGCTGATAGCACAAAATGATGTCGAATTATTAAAAAATCAGAAGGATAGTGACATATTGCAAATTTCAACTTTGACAGTGAAGCAGCAAATTAAATGAATGAAATTAATTGTTAAAAATTGCTATACACTTAGGGGTCTATTCACAAAGCTGCCGAAGGATCTGGCCGTTGCTACAGCCGATCCTTCGACTAGCTTCGGCACCAGGACCCCTTCGGTTCAGGAGAACCAAGGGGGTGCTGTACGGGCTATTCACAAAAGCCCGTACAGCCCGCGAAAGCAGCCGAACCATTAGCCGAACCCAACGACCGAGACATCAGCCGAGCATTCCGGCGAACACACCCGATCTTAGACGAGCAACCCGGCGAACCTAACCGATCCCAGCCGAGTATTCCGGCGAACACACCCGATCACGGCCGAGCGGCTCAGTCGAGCGCTGAGCCGTGCTGAAAGACGAAGCTGGCCGAGCGGCCGGCCATTGGCCGGCCGACAGCCTGCTTCTGACAGCTGGACGGTCATTCACTCGGCTGCCCTCGGCAGCTTTGTGAATAGACCCCTTAGACTCCATTCACACATGAGCAGCTTTGCACAGAAATGCGCTAAACATAAAAAACAATGCATTCCAATATGAATTGTTGACACTAGGGCAGTATCTGCACGGTACAAAAATGTGCATCCCCAAAAAAGTCCTAGCAACATTTTCGGGGCGGATTCCGCTATGTGTGAATGCAGCCTTAGGCTGTGGGAGCCTGTTGGAAATATGAGAGCTGAAGAGAAGACATTTAATGCAGATGAAGAAGGAACATTTTACTATAACTTTAGGAAGGGGTACTTTTCAGCAATGGAAGTTAAGCTGTGATATGTTTTTTAACATGAGGTAATTACAACAAAATGTAAGATTTACTAAGGACTAAATCATTTTCATGAAACCAATTATATCCAAAGTCATCATGATGTACAGGCAGGAGGGCAGGGGTTGGTGACTGTGTACACAACTGGGGAGAAACCTCCAACACTGTCCCTAGGACCTGTATGTCAAATTGACAGACAATCCCTATATATTACATAGTTACACACTAACATAGTATTTGAGGTTGAATAAAGACACAGGTCCATCAAGTTCAACCTTATGGTAAGTTTGTGTGGTGTGCGTGCGTATTTGTATGTGAGTCCCTGTGTGGTCCTAGGTTTTAAGAGTACCTGTATCCAGGGGCGTCCCGAGGCTGGGTGACACAGGGAGCAGATATTATGGTACCTGCCGGCGGCCATCTCGGTGATGGACGCCGGCAGAGAGAGGAGGGGACAGTCACCCGGCGGGATAAGGTATGCCGCCGGGTCCCCTCCTTTCTCTCCTGATACTGTCAGGCGTTCAGTCCATGAGGGGGATGACACCAAAATGACTGTCGGTTATTTTGGTATCACCCCTCCAATGGCGTCACCCGGGTGCGGGCCGCACCCTCCGCACCCCCCTTATGACGCCACTGCCTGTAACCCTTGTACGTTACGGTCTCTGAAGAAGGTATGTAATTGATTTTTGATATTACACTGGCAGAGTAGCTCTCTCATTGTAATCTGTAGCCAATTTGATAGCCAAGATTTCTGCTTTGTTTGTCAGGAGCATGACAGAAAGTTCTACAGGTTGTAGCCTTTCAACCTAAATTAGCAATTATATGCAAATCAAAGTATTGTCCTTTGTTCTGCACATAATGCCAGCAATTGTATACCTTTTTATAAAATGTGTTCCTATTTAGCCCTTTATTAACTCTTAGTTAACACTAATATATTTGTATAAACTCTTTCCTTCCCTTCTTCCTTCAGCAAATGTTTGAACTATACACCAAACACCTTAGTCTCAGCACTGGTGGGATCTCAGGAATCTTCAAGCAGTGACAGCCTCTCCACACTCCCAGTGGCGGCTCCTCTAAGGTCAGGGAATCCCTCAGTACATGTAAAGATAATGTAAAGATACAAACAGGGCGCCCCTTTCATGTGTAAAACATTTTTTAACCCCTTCGTGACGGGAGACGTACAGTGTACGTCTTGTCACTTTGTGCCTATATGACTGGCCACGTTCACTGTACGTGACGAGTTATAGGGGTTAATAAGTAAAAAAATTGGATAAATAGATGTACTCACAAACGCACTACAGCGAATGCATGTGGGTTAACGATAACCTGCAAAAGCGTCACATTTGTAGGACCTTTCCTCACTGGCAAATTTTAAAAAGCAGCCGCCGGTCACATCCCTCTCGGCACCGGCCGCTGTGTACTTAGGCTGAGGCGTTTCCGGAGCACGCCCCCTTCTTCAGAACCATAGCTTGCACAGTGAATATGCTGGGTAAAGCTTGAGAGCAGGCCAATCGGGTTGCTGAGCACTGCCTACACTATTATACAAATTTCTACACATGAAAGGGGTGCTCTGTTTTTATCTTTACATGTACTGAGGAATTTTTTTGTTATGCTACTGAGTAATTTTTTTGTTTTTTTCCGGAACTGTTCAGTGCTATGTTAAAAATACAAAATGATGTAAAAGGTGTCAGTATAGTCACAGAGCTTTGTATCAGAAATACTATTTTAGTGTCTTTATAAACAGGACAAATCGCAGAATAAAGTTTGTAATTTTTGATAAGTTATGACCTAGCTTACTTCACAGTTGGAAGAACTGTGGTTATGATAAGAAAAATAAAAAAACCTGGCTGTTTCACCCTGCTTATTATTATTAACGCTTTCACTGACAGATGTTTTTGCATTTTTTTTCCCACACATGTTAAGCCTCAAAATGGTGTGTGTCTGCGAAACTGTAAAAACTTTAATACCTAAAATTAGCCAGGGCAATGCTTTAATTCTTCCTGTGCCAAGTTGTTTTTTTGCACGTGTTACAATCCACATTTTAAGCCTGAAAGTTACCTAAAACCCCAAGAGCTATATATTTCCTGAAAGCATGGACCCTGTAGAGTAAAATAGCGATAGTTCGAAATGTTTACATTGCATGATAATAGTGCAACTCTTTATCAAACCCAACATTTCAGTAAAAATTACACTTAAGTTACTTTTGGTGCACAAAAACACAATACAATACCCATTTTTTGGTAAAATATAAAAGATGAGGTTATGTCGAGTAAATAAATACCCAACATGCCAAGCTTAAAAATTGCATGCACCCGTGAAACGGCGACAACATACCCCAAATTGTCCGTAGGCAACACTTTAAAAGCCTATACAGGTCATCAGTTTAGAGTTAACCATTAATATTGTCCTAGAATTATTGCTTTCATTCTGGCACACGTGGCAATACCTAACATGTGTAGTGCAATTGTCGCTTTAAAATGTAGGCGCACCCGAGACGTGTCACTTATGCGCACGGGGTTGGAGGACGTTACTTTTTTTATTTTTTACATTTATTTTATTTTACTTTCCTTTTTTTAAACTTACTTTACTTTACTTTATTGCTAATACATACATTAGGGAGGCTTACAAGCCCCCTCTGTGAATGCACATTGGAGGTGACAGGTTCTCCTAAAGGTGATAGTAGGGGTTTATTAGACCCCTAGTGTCACCTTTCCACTGCAATTAATCTATTCAATTCTATTAATATATATTTTTTCTGACATCGGGAAAAAAAAAGCAAAAAAAAATACCATAGGAATGCATAGCTAGATTCCTATTGGCTATTTCCCTTTTTTAAAGGGAAATAGCCAATAGGAATCTAGCTATGCATTCCTATGGTGTTTTTTTTAATTTATTTTTTTATTCTGACGGCGTACAACACAATAAGGCTGCAACTGTTTAATAATCAATATTTGCTCTACAGCAGAGCCTGCAATCTACATATGAAAGTGGGTTGTAATTATTAATAATAATAAAAAAAATGTTTGAGTTTTACTTTGAAAAAAAATTGCTATTATTTTTATTATTATTTTAGAAAAAAAATACTGTTATTATTTTTATCATCTACCTATAAAATCTACATATAAAAATGGGTTGTATATAATAATTAAAAAAAGTTTGAGTTTTCTTTTGAAATAAAATTACTATTATTACTATTATTTTTTTTTTTCAAAAGAAAACTCAAACCTTTTTTTTATTTTTATTGTTAATAATTACAACCCATTTTTATATGTAGATTTTATACGTAGATAATAAAAATAATAGTAATTTTTTTTCAAAAATAACAATCAAAATAATAGTACATTTTTTCCAAATTAAAAAATAAGAAAACCGTTTACAATATAAATATTGTGATGGAGTGTGTTTAGAAATTAAAACATAAACCTTTTATTATTATCATTAGTATTAATAATAAAAGCTGGCACCCTCGGCTTGCGTTATATGGTTTGCCATTTTAGCTGTTACAGCAGTGGTTCTCAACCTGTGGGTCGCTGTGTGATTTCTGCTGTGCTAGGTGAGAGTCCTCCTCAGCCCTCTCCTAGCGCAGCAGTGTCAGTTCAGCGGCCGCGTCATCCCTAAATTTTACTGTTGGGGGTCACCACAACTTGGCAAATGTTACCAAGGGGTCCTGGCCCTAGAAAGGTTGAGAACCACTGCCCTAGACCAAAACGAGCAGCTAACCTTTGCAGTGTGGGGGTAGGCCCATTGCAAGGGTTAATTTTGTAACTGCTCGAAGTTCTTATTTAAAGTTTTCTCTGTGCAGGAGAGGAGTTCCGGTTACACAAGAGCTTAGAATGCATATACTCCCTAGTTTGCTCTATCAGAGTGGTCTTTTTTTTGCCAAGTTGGTAACACACAGGAACATACAGGGTAAATGTCAGCACATTTTAGCTGTTGCTTCACTTACAAGAGTTCAGCAAGTTGCAGTAAAACGGGAACTAAGCTCTTCATTATATCATTTAAAGTGTTAGATTCCTGTTCATTGTAGCACAGCTGCAGACGTCTCACACACCATCCATCCATGGGCCACGTGCGGAGGAGCCAAATCTACAAGATGCCCACATCTTTTACTGCCAGCACCTTGCTGTGTCTTCTCATCAGCTCTACAGCAACAGATCCTGTGCTCAGTGAGGGATCCTTCACATTCACTCATCCCATTCATAACATTGCTACTGGGAGGAAACATGTTCTAGTAGCCACAGAAAACAGCTTGTATCTCTTTAATCATATGCTCCATAATCTGACAGTGAGACATCCAGGATCAGACATTGGAAGTAAGAAAAACTGTGCCGGAAGAGAAGTGCCTCAGGTGTACTATAACAAAATTTTACTTGTATATAATGATACTGTGCTCAGTTGCTGGAATGAAGATTCAGGGGTTTGCAGGGAATACGATGTCAATAATCTCACCCTTCTTAAAGGATTTGGTGACAATATTGTGTCCTGCAACCCTGAGCACACTGCCGCAGGCTTCATTTCACAGAAAGACAACAATATTATCTTTGTGACTGCTGCGCCGACCTTAGAAAGGAAGACTACATCTACTGTGCAAACAAGGGCTATAGCAGTAAGAAAGAGGACCGATGATGTATTTACATTTATTCACGATAATAATGTTGTTTTACTCAAGACTTCTTCACCAGTCCTAAACTTTGTTGATGCATTTGAATTGGAGGGGAAGTTTACTTTTCCCTATTACCTATCTAATGGACTAGGGGCGAGATTAATAGTTCTGGAAGGAGATTTAGATGTTAGATTCAATTCTCAATATAATCTAACATGTGGGACGGAGCCTCAGAGAGGGGTGATTTTGTCTTCCTTTGTATTCGCCAGTTCTGGGAGTTTCTTCTGGGCTGGAATTTTCAGCACAAACCATACTCGTTCTCCAGACACGACAGCTCTTTGCATCTACAACATCACTTTCATTAAGGATATATCCAGAGGTTGTATCCATACGGACTTTCAAGTTAGTGATTATCCAGACTGTGTGAGTATTATCTGCACCATATTACATTTATTTTACATTTGTCCAAAAACTTGCTGAAAATGCATCTAAACCCAAAAGCAAAAATGTAATATATTGCGGTTTACTAATTCTTAGATATAGTAGCTGCATGTGCTTTGATTTTTCAGGCTTGTTTTCCTTTATAATCATTGATGTGCCTAGGAAGTCTGTTATTATTCATCTTCTTTTAACAGACCAAGCTGCCTAAAAAAGTAGATGGAGATGGAGGTTTCAGACAAATCATTTAACACTTAGGCCCCATTCACACTGAGCCATTTATCGCGCGATTTATGCAGCGATATCGCTCTATGTAGTTTCTTCAATCCATTTCAATGGAGCTGTTCACATCTCGCCGCTCAATATCGCTTGTAGCTCGTCGCTCCTACATGACCCTTTTTTCTGTGGATTTCGAGCGATTCTGCTCCTGATTGCATACAGCCCAATAGGAAAAAGTTGCGCGACAATATTGCACATATAAAATCGCGTGGAAAATTGCGCGATTTTCATGTCGCTCAGTGTGAATGGGGCCTTACAGGGGTGCTTACAATTGTCAGCTTTTTTTTCCATTTATGTAAAATCTTTGTACCAAAAGGTAAAAGGTCGTTACTGTGACTACTTAAAAAGTGTTATCTGGAGTTCAGCTTTAATTTGTTAACCCCTTAAGGATAAGGGCCTTTTTTAATTTTTTGTTCACGTGTTATAATCCACATATTAGGCCTGAAAATTACTTAAAACCCCCAAACATTACCGTATTTTTCGCTCCATAAGACGCACTTTTTTCTCCCCAAAAGGAGGGGGAAAAAGTGCCTGCGTCTTATGGAGCGAATCCCGACGCCCGAGACATGCAGTTTCGGGCACCGGGCGAGTAGTAGGAGCCACTGCTCATTTAATACGAGTGATCTAACGAGATCACTCGTATTAAAGCCGAGCAGCGGCGGCGCGATCGAGTTCAGCAGCAGGAGCCACTGCTCGTTTAATACGAGTGGTCTAATGAGATCACTTGTATTAAAACCGAGCAGCGGCGACGATCGAGATAACCATAGAGCAGACGAAGAATAGACGTTCTTCGCCTGCTCTGTGTCATCACTGAGACCGTGGCGCTGTAATCACAGCGCCACCTGTCTCAGCGGTCACTAACTGCAGCTTCTGTCACAGCTTCTGTCATAGAAGCTGTGACAGAAGCTACAGTCTCGAGTGCTCCATAAGGCGCGCCGGACCTCCCTGCGTCCCATGGTCCGGTGCGTCTTATGGACCGCAAAATACGGTATATATTTTTTGAAAGCCAGGACCCTGTAGAATAAAATGGTGGCAGTTGCAAATTTTTATGTTGCATGACATTAGCACAACTTATTATCAAACCCCAAAATTTAGTGAAAAATGCACTTAAGTTACATTTAGTGCCCCAAAGCACTAAATAAACAATTTTTTTTTTAAATCTAAAAGATGAGGTTACAATTAGTAAATAGATACCCAACATGCTCAAGTTAAAAATGTTGTGCCTGCGACAGAATTCAGTACCGCAAAAGGTCCATACACAACAATTTAAAAGCCCCTACAGGTCATCCGTTTAGAGAAACGTGTAAATATTCGCCTTAGAATTATTGCTCTCACTCCGGCGTGTGCGGCTATACCCAACATGTGTAGCGCAATTGTCGTTTTCGTACGTAGGCGCACCCGGCGCGTGTGTACATGATGTCGTGCGTGCTCGCGGGGGCCGTAAAAAAATGTATTTTTTATTTTTACATTTAATTTATATAATCTTATTTTTAAAACTTTTTAAACTTTATTTTAAGCCCCCCATGTGAGAGCCTAATGGCAGTGGCAGGTACTCTTTAAGGTGATGCGGGGGGGTCCAAAAGACCCTTAGTGTCACCTTTACACTCTAAATAAGCTATCAAAGTGCAGATCGGACTTCAATAGCTTACTGCTGGGCTTCTGGAGCCCAGCACTGACAGCTATAGGACCGGAAGTGATGCAATACGCGTCACTCTCGGTCCCATGGTACGGGGAGGGGATCGGCGCATGGATGTTCACTGCCTTCCTCCCCAGCTTCTCGCCGACACCCGGCAAGCCAGTCCCGGGCCCGTAGGAGGGGCAACGGAGCCCGGCAACGGTACAAGGCTGGGGGGGGTGCGGCCCGATTACCGGATCGTAGAAGCGATCTGGTGACAGCTGAGCTGCCAGAATCGCTCCTACTGTTAAGCCGGTCGCCGGCTCGACACAACGGAACAGACTATAGGCGGCTGTAAGCCGCCGCGAGTCTGTGTAAACCCTTCCGACTTCATGACGGAATTATCCCATCATAGGTCATGAATGGGTTAATCAAGTCCTTCTAAATCTACTAGTCCAGTGATTCTCAACCTGTGTAACCTCAAGGCCCACATTTGTCCTTGTCATTAAGTCGCAACCCAAGTCGCACTGCAATGGGATGCACGGCATTGCAGTACCGGGTGTTCGGGTGCAGGTGATCGGACTGTGGGCGGGAGGTGTGTTTGGGGTGTCATTCAAATTAATGGCAACACAACACACCTTCCACACCAGAACGTGTGGGACGATTTTTATTTTTTAAATTTGTTTTAAGATCCACTCAGTCTTATGAGAACTGGAGTGGATCCTCAGTCTCCCTACCTTATGAGAACTGGAATGGATCCTCAGTCTCCCTACCTTATGAGAACTGGAATGGATCCTCAGTCTCCCTACCTTATGAGAACTGGAGTGGATCCTCAGTTTCCCTACCTTATGAGAACTGGAATGGATCCTCAGTCTCCCTACCTTATGAGAACTGGAGTGGATCCAATGTAGGCTGCTGTGCTGTGACGGAGCTCCATCCATATGCGCAGTGTTTGTACAGCTCCCTTGCGTGCCCTGTAGAGGCACATGTGGGAGCTGTAAGAAATGCACGTATACTTCCAGCCCACCCCACCCAAGCTGACACGCAGGGCTGGGTAGCATATTTTGAATGACTGCTCGGCGCGAGAACTGACGGTGCTGCCCTAAGGGGAGGCTGATGAGTCTCTCACCTAGAAAAGTGGAATGCATGTGGCCACCCACTAAACATGGGGTCGTCATCCCTGATCGGACGCCCGGGATCGCGGGGAGGTGGCAGCAGGGGCGGCAACCACGAGAAGAGGTAAGGAGACGCACAGAGACATGCATCATACAAGCGATCGGCGTCTTTACACACACCGGACCGCTTGTATGTAAATGGCCATCGCTGGCTGTTTTAAATTCTGGCGGTTTTCCGCTCGTGTGCGTCAGGGGCACGTGCAAGCGGGTGCGGGCACGAAGGACGTTTAAAGACACCCACCTGCATCCAGAAGACTCCCGTCCAGCCGTTTCTGAACGTTTGGTGGACGGGAGGTGGTTACATTTTTTTTTGGGGGGGGGGGGG